ATGATAAGCAGGAAGAAGCTGACAGGACTTGTGCTCAAGCTCCAAACAACCTTGTTGATTTCCACCACACCCCGGCACATCTACAATTATCTTTACAGCAGGAAACAGTAAAGCCGTCTAAGTTTGGAAACTTGTGTATGTCAGTCCTGGGATCATTTCATGTAAAACCGTATCTGATTCGACAAAGAGTTGAAGGTCACCTACGTTAAGTGTTCTCAGCTGGAACAACATTAATCATGACTGTGGATCATGGATATGGAGACCAATTAAAGGCATGGTGGGTTTTTTGGAACCAGGAGCGCTATGTATGGATCCTGAGAACGCCAGTCCTACCCACTCAGGGATGCTTGGAATCATAAAGCAATTAGTTTGAAATCCCTAATGAAACAGCCTGTGGCCAAAGGCCAAGCTGATTTACTTGATGTAGGCCTGAAGCCACAAGAACTGCTCTGTAATTTTTTGGGAATGTGACTCAGACGCCCAGCAGAAACTGTCCCCCGAAACGCTGTTCTTAAGGAATACCATAAACATGAATGAGACAGCAGCGTCCTCCCACATTGACTTTAGTGCTGGGAACGTACTGAAGCTACAGAAGGAAACAGCTGGCACGGAGGGCGGGTGGTAGCGCGGCAATGACAGAACTATGGCCATAAAACTTGCCCGACCAAGACCCAGCACTACCTCCAGTCAACACGTCCGCCCGGGAGAAAACGTGCCGAGAACGGCAGAGTGAGAAAACCTAAATGGCGGCACAGGTTCAGAAATGAACGGGCGAAAACTTAAAATGTCCTGAAATCATGAAATGAAATAGGTGGCTTTAGTTTCCAAAGTTAACTCAACAGTACATGTCAACCCTAGACAAATAGAATTGGGATATGCTAAGTTGAGCAGGTGGTGAGCCAGACCGTATCGAAAAGGTAAAAGGTATGTTAGCAAATAACGGTACTAATGTTATTATTCCATTATTATAGTTATTATATACTAGTGTTATTATTCCATTATTATTGTTATTATTATTAGAGTTTAAAGTAAAATATAATCCAAATCAATTTAGTGTTGTTTTGAGCTAGAAATACACTATTGGTGGTAAACTATTCAAGTACTGTAGGATAGCATATTTTGTGAAATGCTAGATAAAAATAATAATGCAGGTTGGTTGGGCAAACGTTTTGAGTCACAATTGGTCCTAAAATTTGAGTCAGGAACAGATCAGTGAAGCGTTCTTGTGAACGAAGATAAATGACATGTAAAAGTCATGCATAAAGGCTAAAGTGCTAAAATGGTTTTGATCATTTTCTGCAACATCTATAGGGGAAAATGTGGGCATTGCAGGGAAAAGGCAGAGGTATAATCACAATACAAACCAATTATATCATTTGGACAAGTTTGGCGGGCCGGATTACAAAGCTGAACGGGTCGCATCCGGCCCCTGGGCCTTAGTTTGAGATGCTCACAAGTAGAAGTGTCAAACTCAAGGCCCGGTTTGCAAATACGGCCTGCTAAACCTTGTTAACCTATGAAACAAAAGTTTTTGTAATCAATCAAATAATAATCAATTGCAGAAACATGTATTAGTCTGTTATGGTGTAGTTACATCTACACCAGCGGTCCCTAACCTTTTTAAAGGTTATTTTCAAAATAAAAAATCTTTTAGACTTTATTCTGTTTGTATCAGAGTCTGAATGACCTATTATTTTAAAATATTGACAGATTATCTTAAAATAAAAAAAAGTAACTGTACATGGATGATTTTCTTTGAATAAAGTAAAAACTTAAGTACATTTTTTTCACTGTCCCACTGCGGCCCAGTACCAGATGACCTATGGACTGGTACTGGTCCCTGGACCGAGGGTTGGTGACCCCTGATCCATACAGTCTTCCATTTACAACCAGCCCTGGTTTAGAGCAGTGTTTGCTGATGTGCCTCCTGGTGAAAATGAGTTTGACACCCCTGGTTTAGAGCAGTGTTTTCCAAACTTTTTTTTCTGGGGACCCATATTTTAAAAGTCACAAATACTTCGCGAGGTTTGTGACGATAGGCATTATTCGTAAACTCCTGGTAAACATGTGGGACGACCCAAAGTAAAACTCTTGTGACAGTCTTGGGGGAAAACAATGGTTTAGACTCCTTAAACCTTTGTTTCCCAAAGACTGGGGTGCCAAATATGTAGATCAGCAATTACATTAAAGGAAACAAACAAACAAAAAAAACAAACAACTAAAAATGATAGAGTCAGACGGCATTGTGCCATACAACTACAGCCATTTAATCAAAATAGTAAATATATATTTGTAGTTTTCAATGTAGGTAGATCACTTTACCTCGGTCATTTGAAAAAAGTAGCTCCAAAGCCGAAAACAGTGTGGACAAATAGTTTTGTCATAGCTGTCTGTGCACATGTCGTACTATTCAAATGCGCTGAGAAACAGATTTGAGATGAAACTAGATAAAAAAAATAACCTAGAGCTCTCGTCTGTTGGCATTTTCTTAAACGTTAGTTAACGAGAAAGTTAGCCAAAAAAGAGACATCTAATAATATTCTTTTTACATTACACCAAACATTAACCATTCATGTTGATGATATTGCACCTGCAAAAAAAAACAAAAAACAATCTGTAGTTACAATCTACAATCTTAGAGACACCAAGGTAGCGGTGCAAAAGAAATCCAAATGAATTGGCTAAAAAAAGCTAAACATTTAAGAATAGCTGCCTATCCACTTGGATGGATGTGTAGATTATACGTAGTATTTTAGGTATCATCTGGTTTGTCTGTCTCAGTCATACCCTAAAAAAGGCTAGGGTGTGTTTAGTCTGACTGGATCCGTATTTAACCAAAACAAGTTGGGAAAAAACAAAAAACTCGACATACCAGCTTTGAATCTGTTTTCAAACGTTACCACACGTGAAGCTTTTAGAACCGTCTGTAGTGTCTCGCGAAAAATGAACCTAAAAATTATGACCTTGAAAAACTCGCCAGTAAAAGGTTAGGAAAATGTTGGATGACATATGTTGAAGGAATGACATCCAAAACATCCCTACAGTAGGAACAAAAGTGAGGCCTTGTTTTAAAAAAAGTTTGATTTGCACTCACAGCTGCAGCTGCCACAGACTTTGACCTCTGATATTTCCAAATGTTATCAAATGGACACCTGTTAATTCAGCTTGATCCCACTATTATTCCCAATACAACCATTTTTGTTGCTTTAATAAAAGGTTAAAATATGGATTCAGGTTAGATTTTAACCTGAATCCAAGGTTAGATTTTAACCTAAAACACAGGATTAAACCATCAACTTCGAGTTCTTTTTTTTTCTCCTCCCAATCTTGTCTGATTAAGATTGAGAGAGAAAATCTCCCTAATAGTAATATTAAAGTTCTAGCTATCTAGCAAATTCAATTGCTGTTGTGTGAGATGGTCTTCCCGTTGCACAGCTGAACATCGATTTGCCTGCCAGTGTTTTTCCTAACGGCATTTTGAAGTTTGTCTTTGGACATAATCATTTTTTTTTTTTGCTTTTGACATCCTGATAATAGCTTAAATCTATTGTTTATCCATCCATGCTTTTGACATCCTAATAAAAGCTTAAATCTATTGTTTATCCATCCATCCAACAATCCATCCTTATATGTATGCTTATTAAGATTTGATATACTTCCACACCAGACATGATCAAACTAAGGTGCGGGGGCCAGATGTTGCCCGTTTAGCTTTTTAATCCAGTTTGCCCACGCCTGTTCTGGACCATGTGATCATATAATACCAAAACCAACCATAATAGTGAGGAGTGACACAGTAAGCAAGTGATTGATTTCCATGTTAGCTCATTTTTTTTACTTTTTTCTATTCCTCTGTGTCCTACAATGTGCAGTAGCAATAATGTGCTTTAAAACAAATCTAAATGTTTAAAAAAAAAAGGTGAAAAAAATTGACATAAACATGACAAAAAGTAAAGCAAATCTAAATGTTTATGTCAAAAAATTGACATAAACATGACAAAAAGTTAGTTAGTGTGTTAGTTAGTTCCTTAGATAGTTAAATGTTTAGTTAAATGTTCCAACCTTTGCATAAATAATAAAATCCTAAATTCTGTTGCAGCAAAAAAAAAAAAAAAAAATCCTAAATAACTCTCAGCCCTTACACACCAAAGGGATTGGGATTAAACAATGATAAGTAAATAATTTGAAAATAAACTACCTGGAATTTGTACATGTGTATGTAGCTGTAACGATATAAATAAATAATAATAAATATTTTAGTACGTTAAGACCCATCTGTTTTGTGTACTGTATTCGGGCAGATTTATTTATTGGCTTTTCGTATCTGTCAGAACCAGCATGATGCTGATCTCAGATCTGCTGATGTCCTTCAGGTTTATGTTCCAAAAGCTAAAAAAAAAAAAGACCCCGATTTCTAAAATCACATTCAAAAGGAAGGGAAACTGTTACAAATATTAACATCAATTATTCGAGAAAAAAAAAAAAGTTAATAACTTAAAGTAGTAGTAATAACTTTTAGTTAGATAACTGAAGTTCCTTTGTTTGTTATTCCCACTATATATATATAGTGGGAATATATACATATATATATATATACATATATATATATATATACATATGTTATTATATATTATACATATAGTTATTTTAGTATATATATATATAACATTATATATATATATGTATATATATATAAATATAATGTTATGAATTTCAATAATTAACTTTTAACAAAGAGAATCACTGTCTGTGAATTTGGAACTTTTTTTATGAGGCTGTTCAGGGCTGCAGCTAGAGATCAACATCATCATTTAAACATCACGTCTTATTTTCTGGAATAATTGTTTATCCTCTTTATCCCCACATTTTACTGTGTTTTATTGCATTCCCCCCCCCCCCCCCCCTCATTTTATTTCCCTTTATTTTAGCAATTTTTCCTGTACATTAAAATCCAGCTATAATTTTAGCAAACCATCTGCTTCTTGGAATTTTTTTTTTTTTAAGTAGCCAATTTAGAAAAAAAAAATTTTTATACAAGTGTCTTTTCTCTATTTTATTTCTATTTATTCTGATAAAACGTGCTATTTTTTTTTTTGCTAAATGTTTGCAACATCCTGACCGGTGTTGAATTATTTTTTTTATGGGTTTTTATTGCTATTTTTAGTTGAATTTATTTATTAGCTGTATTCATAGCTACAATTGGACCTTAACTTGTGGTAATGTCCGTTTTAACATTTAGCCACATTTGGACAAGTTAAATGATTTATTAGTTATTTTTAAGTTCTTTTTTTTTGGCCAACCTCAAAGTAATTTAAGATATGTTTTTTTAACTAATAATAACTGTTTAAGTTTCGGTTTGTTGAATGTAAACAGTCATTTTAAAAACGTAAAGTATTAGATAGTTACCTGCTGCTCCTGGATCTCCTGCTGATGATTTTTGTTTGTTTTTAGAATAAGGTCAAACGTGTTTCTGCTCTGCTCTGCAGAACTGACTCTTCTTCTTCTTCTTGGTCTTCTTCTTGGTCTTCTTGGTCTTCTTCTTACCATGGTGGTTGACGATTAAGATCCTAAAATATCCTCATGTTAAGTGACACATTGCCGCCCCTTCTCCATCGCACTGAGTCTGAGGTGAAGTGACACACGGCGGCTTCAGCAGCGACTAAAACACTTTATCTCCCAACTGCAGGTCTTTGTCAGCGGAGGCTCTGCCCACTGCTGCTTTTGCTCCTCCCCTAGAACCTGACTCCACTTCAGCACAAGACTAGAGATTTTTTTTTTTTTACCATGGTGCACCTGTTGTCTTATACTTTTATATGCCGATCATTTTTATTATGTATTTGTTGGCAGTGAAAGACAAAAACATTCAACTCTATAAAAGTTGGTGCACTCCACAAAAATGTGATGAACTCTTATGTATGCTTTTGAAAGAAACAAGAGCACAGACCTCAGTGGGATTACAGTGAATACATTATTTTTTTTTGTATACTTATATCTATATATATATATATATATATATATATACTGTAATTTCGAGACTATTGAGCGCACCTAAATATAAGTATATGTACAATTATTTTTTTTAAATTGTACATATAAGGCACACTTCTGCCTACTAAATTAAAAAAAAAAAATTAAATTGTACATATAAGGCACACTTCTCTATAAGCCGCAGGTGTTCACGTTGTAACATGGGGTATTTACACAGAATTATTATTTTTTTCCACTTAAATAAAGGCTTTTTTTCCGAACAGTGCCTGTACCACGGCTGGTTACACGTTAGCTCTTTCTCGCTTCAGCGCCCCGACCGTAGTTTGAATGTACAGAGGAGGCTTAATAATCTGCTCCAGGGGCAAAGCTAACATTAGCTCTCGGGCTAACTCCCTTCATTTTGTGCTTGTCCGCTGCAGAGGTAAACAGAGACAGGGAAGTTGGGGGGGTCTTTATTATCAGCCAAACCGAGCACAACGAAACATGAACAATGTTTTAACAGCTCCCGAATAACCAACTCACTCAACTCAAAAGAAAGTAGAAGAAAGAAAAGTCGTTGATCGCTAGCGGTATGAACTTTGTTATCGTGTAAAATTCAATAAATTAGCCGCCTCGTTGTTTAACCAAAGAAAGTACGATAGAAGTGTGATAGAAAAAAAATGTTGAAGAGCTGAAGTGCATTGCTGTTGTTTGTGGATCTTTTTATCACAACAGTGTGTTTGTACAGATGCTTACTCACTGTGGCTAATGAAAAAAAAAAAAAAAAAAAAGCTAACCACTAATCCATCCTTTCTGAAGTTGAAAAGTTGCGGTGTAATTTCTTTATTTTTCTCAATGCAGGATTAAGGAACCACAGGTTTCAGGCCAACACATACATAGAGAGGAATGAGGTCAAAGTTCCACACATACCTTTCCTTAGACTGTCACCTGCACTTTCTGTCTTCAGGGTTCCTTCTCGGACAAGCAGCATCGCAACTGTCGTTACTGCTACTTTATGTTCTCTGCAGATAAATGGAGCGTTGGTGTGAACTAAGATAAACGACATGTAAAAGTCATGCTAAAATGCTAAAATGATTTTATCATTTTCCACGCCATCTATTGGAGAAACATGGATATTGCAGATAAAAGGCAGAAGTATAATGATAATATAAATACATTGTATAATTTGGAAAAGTTTGGCGGGCCGGATTAGAAAGCTAAACGGGCCACATCTGGCCCTCGGGCCTTAGTTTGCCTGATTTAAGATAACCGTTCTACCTCTGTAAGAATCTCCAATTCTTTATCATTTTTTTTTCTTTTTGCAATTAAGCTTTTCCAAAGTCAGCTTATGATGATGATGTATTACTTAGTGCTGATGCAATAAGCCAGCGTCTACGTGTGTATGTGTGTCCGTGCAATTGTGTGTGTGTGTGTCTCCAGTTTGAGCAGCCTAAGAGTCACAGTGTTGAGACCTAGAAATCCTTTGATTGCAGACAATCCGGTGAGACGGGCTGTTTGACCAGTGCAGCCCACAGAGACAGGCTCACTACACAAATATGAAAATGCTACTCAGCAAAAAAAAAAAAAAAAAAAAAAAAAAAAATCAGCAAACACTCAGTATCAAATTTAAAGTCTTAAATCCAAATAGTAGGGTGACGTGATCTCTGCTTCACACTTCACACACAAGAAAATGTTCCTAAATTTCCGTTGCAAATTGGTCTGTTTTAAAGATCTCATAATTTTGTTTTTTTTTTCTTTAATAGTTTTTTAAACACTTTTCTTCAACAGCGTTTTTTTTTTTTTTTTTTTTTTTCAAATTTGCGTTCCTCTCTGACTTAATTCCTTTCCTGTCACAGCATGTTGGCATAGCAGCTTCAAATCAACTGACAAACACAGACCACAGACAGGACGGCGGGAAGTCACTTCCTACACCTCTGTGCTGCTGCTGCTGTTTTTTTTTTGTTTTTTTTTCTCTCTGAACACCGAGGTTGAGCTGATTACACCGTGGACACAGTATAAGAGAGAACTGCACGGCTGCAAAGCTTAGAATTTTGTTGCCATTTTCTTGTCAAAAAAAAAAAAAGAATCACATTGACTTGGTCAGGGTTTGGCAGGGCTTCAAGGTAATTCGACCCAAATTCACATTTCCTTGTTTTTGACCATGGACCTTAAACTGTTCGTAAACTCTCGCAAAGTCTGAATTTGATCTAACCAGTTAAACATCAGTAGCATAAAAAAATGTAAACTTTACAATGTTGCCACAAAGACAGAAGACAAAACAAGAATGAGTGAGATTTGTGCTTGTTATCCTATTTTGTGCAAATAAGACTGTAAATAAAGGCCCGGTCTGGCCCTTTGGTTTGCTAAGCATCCAAAAAAAAAAAAATAAATAAACCAGCCATTAAGGTACACAAGCCAGTGTTTCTATAGTTTCAAAAAAATATATAAATAAATTAAAAAAAAAACATCTCCATACACCTCCTTGAGAGATACGCAGACCACTGACCAGAGTGTAATCTTATGTTCTAATATTATTATTACAGAAATTTATGCAACTGTGGACCCGGGAGTTTGATAAACGTGTCATGGGTCAAAAGACTTCGAGTGGTTTAAACTCAACGAGGGACCAGTGTGTAAAAAAAAATAAAAATAAAAAAAAGTGTAGCAAAGAAGTACATTTATGGCGTATGAAAATGACACTTGCTTTGTCATTTCTGTCCTTGAAGAACAATAGAAAGTCACCGAGATACTGTTCCCTTGTCTGCGTTTGTGCAGCAGCGCGGCTGAAGTGAGGACCACACACTGCGTCCTAAATGATGTTTACCTTCGTCTTAGAGCCGTCAGGCTTATTTCCTTGTGGATACGATGCGACACAATCATAAAAGAGACGTCTTAATAACATTTAATTACGGTGCCATTTCATCCAGGGGCTTACAAATTCTCCTAATGATTTAAATGTGTTTGTGTTGCTTGTTTGACAGTTTTTGTTTCTCTCACTCGGAACATTTTTTTTTTTTGTCCCGGAGTTTATTTTGTGTGCACATATAAATGTTTGTGGTGTTTCAATGGCTCTCTCTGCTAAGGAGTCTTCTCTCCAAGTGACAATATTTACTCTTTTGGGACCACATCAGTCAGAGAGTCCTATGAACTTCAACGGAGTCTGGTACATTGTTGTGTGGGAGGTGAGCCCTGTTCTTCTGCTGTTGCTCCGGATCAAATGTATGCATGCGTTGGTGTCAATGATATTTCTGTAGAAGTCAAAATATATATGTTGAAGCTTGAATATAAATTATATATATATATATAT